CCAACAACGGGTCAATCTGTCACTATCTCACAACAGGGTCTCCAAAGAGTTGCCCAGTACTATACAAAAGGAAAGGAAATACCTCACTTCTAAAGTGGAAACAAAACAATAACAAAACGGGCTGTGGGAAAACACAGCTGGTGCGGGTCTACAGGTGCTAATCACCTGGATCTAAGAAGTATACACACACAGGAATGCTGGTCTACAGGTGCTAATCAACCTGGATCTAAGCAGTATACACACACAGGAATGCTGGTCTACAGGTGCTAATCAACCTGGATCTAAGCAATATACACACACAAACCCTATACTAACACAGAACCCGACGATACGCTGCTAATCAGTGTGCTCTCCCAGAAACCCTACTGAATACACTGCTAATCAGTGTAGCTAACACAAAATGCACACGGCTAAACAATCTCAGAAGTCACAGAACGAAGGCAATGTCACAATGCGAGGGTTGAGGCGTCTGTCACACAATACAGAGCCTCCCGAATGGTATCCGTGCCCAGCCTTTATACTCCTCCCGTGGCAGAAGCGGACAGGGCTTGGGTGACGTCTGTCCAATCCCCGCGGATGTTGCGAGGTCGAGGCGGCCACTGACAGCATAGGAACTGCCCCGCTCATTTGCATACACACACAAACAGAGTTAAGGGCACAAGGTAGCAGCGGCTGTAACAAGGTCTTTAAAAGATAAAAACGACTTGGTCTTAGCCAATAGTCGTATTTAAAAAAAGCAGGTCTTGACTACGGTGCTGACCTGCTTATCAAATTTAAAAGCGCTATTGAAGGTCACTCCAAGGTTCATGACAGAGGGGAGGATATTTTTATTGAGGGAGCCCAGAATATCAACCGGAGAGGCTGGAGGTCGGGGTCCAAAAAAGATGACCTCGGTCTTGCTCTCGCTGAGGGTGAGGAAGTTTTGGCTCAGCCAGGATTTAATCTCTGTTAAGCAGTCCATCAACTGCTGTAGTGAGTTGGCATTTTTTTTTTTTGAGAGGCAGATAGATCTGTACATCATCAGCGTAACAATGAAAGGGGATGTTGTGTTTTGTGAGAATTGAGCCTAGGGGCAGTATGTACAGTAGAAAAAGGATGGGGCCCAGAATCGAGCCTTGGGGAACCCCACAGGTAAGAGGGGCTTTGGCATTGAAGTGTAAAAGAGCCTGATTATATTATGTTTTTGGACACTGTATCTCTTTTCATGATAATACAGCAACCAAGAACGTCCAGAGCCAGTTGAAGGCCATCCAGTTGTCAGATCATATTTAAATACCACCAGGCTTATGCTTTAAATATATGCTTACAGTGAAACTCTCCCGTCCTTCCTGAAATGTTAGACGGATAAATAATCTTTGCAGTAGGATTCCAGTAATCACAGTTTTGCAGTACAAATGTCATAAAACTGAGGAACTCAGCTAAAATAATACCCAAGTGTCCAGCCCCTTGTAAAATACAATTTAATACAATTTGAAGTAGATGAATTGTAATTAATACCTCTCTCTTCCCTTTCATTATTTGTATTTCCTCTTATATCCTACTTTCCTCCTCTCTTCCAGTGGCACCTCCAGAAATGTATCATAGGGGTGGCCAAATGGGACCACTGAAAATCTTGGGGTGGCCCACCAAAACCAAGAATTGAATTGTTGTAAAAGTATATACTAGATCAGGGGTGGCCAACCCGCGGCTCTCGAGCCGCATGCGGCTCTTTGCCTAGTTTCATGCGGCTCTTCAGTTCATATCGAATTTTATATGTGTGAGTTTGGGGGAGAGACACTGACTCCTGACTAGTGTTGCACGGTGTACCGATACTTGAAAGGTACCGTGATACCCTGCCGTTAAAAACGTTACGATTCCTCCGTTTCATTAGTATCGGTACTTTAAGAATGACGGGGGAAAGTACTCCGGTGAGAAAGCGCTGTTTTAATAAGAGCCGTGTGTGTTCAACGCTCTGCTTCCACTCCCTGCACTGCAGCCGTGCCTGCAGTCCCGCCCCTCTCAAGCACGCTCTAAGTCCCTCCCCTCTCAAGCACGCTCTTAGTGCCTCCCCTCTCTCGTGCACGCGCTAGCTGCCAGAGCATGTGAGAAAACGAGAAGCATGGCTGCAAGTGGGAGTGCAACTGCCGCTGCGCCTCGGCTTGTTGACAAAAAAGACGCCAGAAGCGAAATTTGGAAGTATTTGAGCTATATCTCTGACAGTGAGAGCAAGCCTACGGACACCACGAGGTCTGTCTGTGAGACATTTATTAATTTTATTTAATACGAATTATTGTCATTTATTTTATTTATTGTTCTCATTGTTTAAAAGTTTGTGTTATGGTTATGGTTCTGGTGTGAAATAAAGCACAATAATTACATTTAAGACTGTTTCCCTTTTTTTAAGAAAAGTATCGAAAAAGAATCGGAATCGCAATTCTTGACTTGGTATCGAAACCAAAATGTTGGTATCGTGACAACACTAGCTACTCCTGACAGTTAAACCTGATATTTAGTAGGTCTGTTAAGTATTGAATGCTGATAATTCTGACGTAATTTGGCCGGTCAAAGTTGTTTAGGCTCGGATAAAATTGCTCCGTTACTTTCGTCCCGTGTTATGTATGTTGTGTATGTGTGGTGTCAGTATGAGAGGATGACAGCGCGTATAATTTTAATGTGGCCCAAGAGCCAATCACAATAATACCTGCGATGCAGTGAACCAATCACCTTTGAGGGGGGGGGAAACCTATCGTTGATTAAACATTATCCAGTGTTTCCCCTACCATTGTCTTGGAGGGGCGCTGCGCCCCGCCAACGGAGCCCCGCCTCCCCGCCTCCCCCCCCTGATATTCAAGGTGTTTTAAAAAAAATATATATATCATTTTATTTTTAAATATATATATAGCACCAAATTGCAAATAATCTATAACTACTGTCACTTTTCACATTGAACATGTGCTCTTTTATTAAATAAACTAAACGCTTTCATTTTAAGTTGTGAGTTTAGTGTTTTTGACCCTAAGAAACACTGATGCATTAATCAATAACAATAATCCACAGCTCCTCTCTCTGCTCCAGAGGATTTAAAACATATATATCCCAATGCCACAAAAACGCATCAGTGACGTGGTTGAAATCTTGTCTCCAGAAAACAAAAAACGGAAACAAGCGGTATCAGTGACTGTGTGTTTGATGTGGCTCTTTGCAGTAACATAGAAAAAATGTGGCTCTTAACCTCTGACTGGTTGGCCACCCCTGGACTAGATGAAAACAATGGCAAAGAGAATCACCTACTGATATACTTTGGTTTCTTATTTTACATTTTCTGATACTATTCATCTGAAGTGAATATAATACGGATAGTTAACATTTGACTTCAAACAACATTTAAAAGAACCTTGTTTTGTGTTATGTATACATGTGTTGGTGATTTATTGTTTTGTTTTTCATATAGTTGTTCTTTCCTTTTAAAAAGACAAATACAGCTTAATTTAAATAAATTCCTTTATTGTAAGGCACAAAATGTTCAGCATTCTCAACACATACAATACACAACAGCAACACAACATGTTCTTCAGTTATATTATATCTCTAGGTTATAAATAGTTTTAGACTGAACAAAGCTGTTTGTGTCACACTGGGATCAAAGATGATTGACATGACTTTATTAAATCAAGTTTTAAAACATGACTATTTTATTTCAACAGGACCCAAAAACACAAGGGGTATGAAATGGTAAATACATACTGTGATTGAACACAAAAACACCATCTATTATTGACCTTTATAGCAAATTCAAAACATTATAAATGATACAAAACACCATCTTTTAGTATTAGACAAAAAATAGGTGACGAGACATATTTCTATTATTTTAGATTAGGCCACTGTGGTGAGAGTAATACATATAGCTTGTATTCCATTTGTTTTGAAAATGTATATTTATACTTTATAAACAAACTGGTTACCCTTTTGTTAAATTAGCATACAGAACATTATGAAAACAAACTTGACTAATGGTCGGCTCATAACCTCAGAACACAGAAGAGGAAAAACTGCATAGATTCTCGTTTCATTTTGAAAGCTGCAGACCTAAAGTGTGTAGAAGACTTAAATGATTACAAAGGTCACAATCACATTAATAAAACTGTACTTAGGTTTTAGTTTCACTTTTACAAAACAGAGTTCCACATGTACTTTCTAGCATGTATGTCCATCTCCTCACTAGCCCTATGCTGCTGCTCCCCTGCCAGCTCTGTCTCTCCTTTACTCATCTTCTTCTTACAATAAGAAGAGATGTCTGTTGACTTTCTCTTCATTTTCTGCAAATTAACATTACACACAGCAGTGATTAATAGTAGCCTACGCATTACACCAGCCCAGCATACCGACATCAGCTAACGTTAGCTTAGCAAGCTAAACTAACGCTAACTAGGATAGCCGCCGAAGTGTGTTTACGGACGAATTATACCTGAAGTCAAGCCAGCCTTTACTGAGCCCCGAGCCTGTTTTCCAGGTCTTCCAGCGTTTTTCTCGTTTTAATGCCATTGAACACACATTTTGATCAGAATAACAGCTAAAGGTAAGCATATCTCCGTGTTTTGCTACCTAAAGCTAACACACTAAAGCCTAAAGTGTTGTGGGGCTTAATAGGCAACGAACGTATACGACTTACCTTCTAGAAGTCTGGTGGATTTTTGTCAAGTCAGTAGAAAGAAACGTTTTGCTGCAACCTGCTGCTGTCTGTGTGAATCTCAGAGTGGTGCGCGCAAGTATCAGAGTGTTACCATGGTAGCAGAGGGAGAGGGAGGGGCTGCAGTATGAGCGTTGGAAGCTCAAATCAAGCGACTCGCTGGCTGTGTATTTGTTGTTAAATATCAGATAAACTACTACGCAAACGTGACTGGCGAGGCGGTGTGTGTGGTGGGGGGGCCAACAAATATATCAGGGTGGCCATGGCCCCCCCCCTGCTGGCGCCACTGCTCTCTTCTCCTCTATTTGTCAAACTCTTTCCATGCTCTCAGACTCTGAAGAACGCCTGGCTACAGAGGAACGCTGCAGACTCAACAGATCCAGGAGTGTTGGTTCTGCTGGGCTGTGGAACCATCTCCAGCACCTGCGGCCAGCTGGCCTCCTACCCCCTGGCTCTGATCCGCACACGCATGCAGGCCCAGGGTGAGACAGGCTGTAATCAGACATCCACACACACTGAGAATGAACAATGTTCCAGCAATAACCCCCATTGTCCCTCTTCTTTCAGCCGCACATGAGGGCAAACCCAAGCTGACCATGGTGGGCCAGTTTAAACACATCATATCCCATGAAGGAGTACCAGGACTGTATCGAGGACTCACCCCCAACTTCCTCAAAGTCATTCCAGCTGTCAGCATCTCCTACGTGGTGTACGAGCACATGAAGAAAGTTCTCGGGGTGGCTTACTAGACGGAGAAAAATAATAGACATTTTGATAAATTGTTGTTCCAAAGACACTAAGTAATACGGTACAGGAGCTAGTTTTACTGATATCGGGTCCCTTATATGTTATATACTATTATTATTAAGGTACTTGGACTAAGCCAGTAGCCGGCGATGCTAAGTCTCTTAAAGTAATTCTAAAAGTATTTTATTACTAAAACAGTTCATCTCTGTAAAGTTAGAGACAGTAAGGAGAGCTCCTAAGATTGTACACACAAATCACACACAGCAGGACAGGCTCCCCCAGCAGGTTCTTTAATACACTGAAGAAGAAACTCTTGTATTTCCTCTTTGGAGAACTTGCCATGGTGAGATAAATACTTCCTGAGTTTGGCTTCAGGTGTTCTGCTCAACAGGAGTGAAGCCTGAACTGTAAAAAAACAGAAATTACATTTATATCCATAAAGTGCTTAAACAAAGTCATGGAAAAACATACTGAGTGGACTTTTGACACTGTTGTTTGGTCTGACAGTGCTGCTGTCTAACCCTCAGCCTCTCAGCGCACAATGTGGCAACACAAGGAATGTGAAACTGTACCTGCAGTCTTTTGAGGTTGAAGAGAGCATATATGAATGACTGTCCAAAGGCTCACAGGCTCAGGTGTAGGGTGTTTTACCCGAGTAAGTTAGCAGACTCTAGTTTCATACTGGTAGTACAGTGTTTCCAGGTTACAAGACTGAAGACTGGCTAATAATGACAATAATGTTCTTTATGGGCTGTCTCTCTCTCAGCCGTCTGAGCTACTGACATCATGAACCTCACAGTTAAGGTAAGGTTAAGTTTCTGTTCACCCCTGAGCTCCATCAGCCTCCAGACAGGCTAATAGAGTGGTGCAGGAATGAGTCTTTAAACACGGAAATGAGAAAGCATTTTCCTACTTCCAGTTCCCTCATCTCGAATTTAACGTTTTTTTCTTTTTACTTGTTTTTGGTTAAAAGCCTGAAATAAGGTCTGTGGTTAGCACAAGAAGAGATGTTTGTTCTATGACATAAAATACGCCAGTAAATACCCCACTGGTGCAAATCTGAAGAGTCATGTGTCATGAACACAGCTGCTGCTAACAAGTGAACATGGGACTGCTGATTGTCATCATGCTGAACATTAGCCGCCTCTAGCTTAGCGGTGATGACGTGAAGTCATGTGACCATGCTGTGTTTTTTTTATAGCCTTAAGTTAGCTTTTTAATTGTGGCGATTGCATTTCAACAGTTTCACTGTTACCCCTAGATTCCACCGGGTCCGTCTGCGTCGCGTTGCGGCTGCGCCGCGGCCTTCGCAAAGATCGCGGCCACTCTAGTCAATGGGTGCTATTCCACCAGACGCGCCGCGTTACGGCTCAGAAGCGTCCCAGAAGCGTCCCAGAAGCGTCTCTGCGCTGGGCTCCGCTCAAAATAGGATTCAAGTCTATTTTTCGACGCGAGGCGTTGCAGTGGCGCCGGGCAGGAAGTGGACCGGTGACAGCATCCGGCCCATCCCCAAAATAAACTAATTTGCAGACCCTATCCCTCCGTAGTCTTTCAAGTAGGAGGAGAAATGCCAGCGTTCTCCTCCGGTTTACAGGCACTGTGTAAGGCAAGACGCTCCGCTTCTGAAACGCGCCCGGTAGGGTATGGAGGTGTGTGTCGCAGTGGATAGAGCCTTGTTGTTGGGATCAGGGGGTCACAGGTTCAAACCCCACTGCAGTCAGCATGTCGTTGTGTCCCTGAGACACTTCACCCCAAAGTGGATTGCCCATGTAAGTCGCTTTGGATAAAAGCGTCTAACAAGTGACATGTATGACGCCGGAAAATCGTGACGCGACGCAGACGGACGAGTCACTAAATAAAAGCACGCTGGTAACCTGGGCCGTTTCTCAATGTCGAGTGTTAGCAATTCTTGAACCCTGAGAGCAGGACATACTGAAAAGAGTCAAGGGAAGCCTATAAAAGTTAACAGCATTTAATTACACAAAAGATGCGGCGATGTACATATGAAATGTGCGAGTGGCGGCTCTCCCCACATGGGTCCGGTCAGCCCAGGTCAGGGGGGTAGAAGAGATTTTAAATCGTTTTGGACGATAAAAATAGTTTAGGACAATACATTGAAAGTCGTTTTGGACGACAAATCAGTACGGCTGGTATAGTGGTTATACTGTTGTGTTTTCAACCAAGATATTGCAGGTGGATTACGGTAATCGGAATTACAGCAGCATTACGTTAAATTTGACGACGGTCTGTTAATAGTCGCTGATGGGTCTCCATATTAGTCCAATACCAGCGTGTCTAAACAGCAACAGATAATCAGAAGACAAAACTAGATAGAAATGTTATTTTAAAAAGTGTTGTTTTTTTGTGTTGAATTTCTATCAACCACTTTGTGACTGATCTCATCAGTGAGAGCCATTCTTCTTGAACAACTCTTTGTCTGCAGGTCAGAGTTTGAAATAATCAGTTGCCATCTTGTTTTGACCTCATGTTGACAAACAAACACATGGCAGTCGCCATTTTGTGAAATGCAAATTCAAAGCACTCCTTTGTTTGTTCTTATGCATCTAGTTTCACTCCCATGAGGCTAACGGCCCGTCTACACTACAGGCGTCAACAAATGCTTTCAACGCTTCGCCCATTCATTTGAATGGGGTGACGTAGGATATTTTCAAACTTCGCCGAACTGCATTGTGGGTAGCATGGCAAGGCGTTGCAAGCATCGCGAGCGTCTATCGGCATCAAAAGTTGAACAATGTTGAACTTTTGAGGCTCGATGCTTGCTCGAAGCTGGCGTCAGCCAATCAAATCCCGTTTTTGCAATTCCCGCCAGTACAAGCGCTAGCAATCAAACCCGCGTGCAAGCTGGGAGAAGCCAGACCGCAGTTCATTCCTCATATTCCAAATGAGAAATTACGGTAGCAAATCACCCGGTTCTTTCCGACCAGAACTATTTACCGGGATACAAACGGAGGAACCAGGCATGGAGGGAGGTGGCAGAGACAGTGGGTGAAACTGGTAGGTTTTCGCCTGTTTGGGGAGTTTATATCCAGTTTACTTCGTTTTAACATTGCTATTGCTTTGTATGTCGGGGGCGGGAGATTCATATGATTGGTTGTTGGTCGCGTTGCTCGCAAAAAATCGCCAAGCTTCAGACACGCCCAGCTTCAAGATTTTTTGATGCCTGTAGTGTAGACGGGCCGTAAGTCATTTTTCTGACCTCCATCTTGTGAAGAACAAATCATACTTCTTGTCACAGTTGGAACTAGAAAATAGTTCATTTTTGCTAAAAGAGGTTATCTATACCGTTGGACTTTGGTGTTTGTAAGGAAAGATTATTGTATTTTCTAAAGGTCCAATCTGATTTTTGAAGTATTTCTGCTGGCAAATGTGTATTGGCGGTTTTTGAAGTATTCCTGTTTGCAAATGTGTTTTGGCGGTTTTTTGCTATATTGTTTGATCATATTGTAACTTTTCTTCCCATTTCAAAGGTATTTTTAAGATTAGCTACCTCTAGTAGATGAAATTGAAAATTACAACAGCGCACTCTGCTGGTCGTACAAAATTGGTCCACAGAACAGAAAATACTTATCAATACAAGAATAGCGCATTTTAGACATCTGATTGGCTATAGATAGAAACAATTACAATTATGAATCGGCTGACCGTCAGGGGAGTCTAAAAAAACCCACACACGAATGCACAGCGATCCGTGCACAGAAAGCGGTTTGTGTTTGCAGGTGCAGAGGTTTTAAACGGAAAACAAATATGTGAGGATCAAAAATACATATATAAAACTTTTTTCTGTATTTGGATTTTATTTACATGTATATGAAACGGAACACATTTGTGTGTGCATTGAAAAACACAAGTGTGGATCCGGAAATACAAGTTTGAATCCTTCTGTGTGCATGTGTGTATTTATGAGACTGTTCTGAGCTGATAATATAGAGCCATATCTGTCACCACAGGAGGGAGAGGTTGAATGTTATTTAAAATTGAGAGCAGCATATTGCATTTACATATAAAACATCCACAGATTAGTAGAAGATTAAAACATAGTAGAACATTTAGCAGACTATTTTTGTAATTATGAGAAGGATAGAGATTACGAGTGATGTTGTTCCCCCACACAGAAAACTATTGTGTCAACCCAGCTAGTGAGGTCAAGACGATGGGTTTTCACCCAAAACATGAAGACTGAAACCTAGTACTCGCCCAAGACGGAGGGTCTTTACCAAGTACTCCTGTTTACACCGACTACAGTTCAAGGGGCGACGATACACCTGACGTGAGGCTGTTGAGACCTGAAAAACAGAAACTCGATTCTGCTGTGGTGAAGTCTGGCTACAAAGGGAGGTGTCCGATAGGGTCGCTTGTCTCAAACCAGTGAAGAAGTCAACAAGAACCCAGCAGAACTAGAGAGTGACTGTTAGCGGGAGAACAGTGACAGAGCGACAGAGACTGGCACAACATTTTCCAGCCAGTACATAGATAGACCCCGTCAGAAGACCGGGGCTGTGTTAAAGGGGAACTTCATTTATTGTTAGTGGAAGTGTAGTTTTTTAGTCAAACAATTATGTGATTTATGGAGTCAGATTACATTTTTTCATAAACACATTTTATAATCGGTCTGAAGTATCTGTTTTAAGGCAATGAGCTACAGATTAAATAACATAACACTGATTGAGAGCTTGGATGAAGAAGTTGTAGGGTTTTTACAACTGTTTAAAGACTCAGTCTTTATTTAGTGACTTTACTGATTTATAATGTAGTGCGTAAGGCAATATCTCATTTTGAGTGAGGGGCACCAGCCCTTCATGTTCTCCTGCATGTCACCCTCTGTGAGAATAGTTCGTATTTTCCCTCTAGTTTAGAGCAACAATGATGCATAATACCATGACAAAAGCCATTATTGAAACAAGTAAACTATTTTGTGTGCTAATGGCAGATTTTAGTGAATATGCATTTATACTATCAGAAAACCATCCATCACACTATATTTTTGCACGCCTTGTGGGTACACGGAGAATTTATATTTATTTAATACAACGTTATGGGTTTTCCTTGTCCTGTTCAGAATAGGGTAATCATTGCAATATTAATTGAGCATTTTATGCTCAAAGGAGGGAGTGCCATGATTACAGATATATTGATTTTGGTGACGTTGTAGTTAATAAATAATAACATGTAGTCAACAATAGGTCTCATAACAACAAAGTTCCAGTTTTGGATATTAGACAAATAGAAGTGATGAATATGTCAGAACTCTGAGTAATATTATCCAAGTTTTGTCTACACAGGCTAGGAAAGCTACAGAGATACCAGAAGAGACTCCTGTTCGGCCAGGTGATTGGGTGAGGGTGAAAGTTCACAAAAGACAGTGAGCTGATCCCCGGTGGACGGAACAGTGAGAAGTTGTAACGAACTTCACACGCGCTCCGGTTTTAAGGTAAAGAAAAAGGAGCAAATTGACACCACCTCACACATTGTCACCCTTCACTGGCAACTTCCAGAACATTATTGGGAGTTAGGACTGATTTGGCAGAGCTGGAACAAAACAATAAATAGGAATAAGATTAAGATAGAAACAGCTCAAAAGACGAATTGTCTTTAGATTTTTATAGATTGTACACAAAAGTGAAAACCTATTTTTTGTTTTACACCTGAAAAAGAGTCCAACGTTTTGTTTTGGTTTTGCTATACGTTATTTTTGTAGGCTACTCATCATTTAAATGCTGTAACTGACACAACCAGGGATCAAATAGAGATTATGTCAAGAACAAAGCCAAACTAATTGTGGGGTCCCCTAGGGATAAGAGTCAGAATGGCATTGTTGATTGTGCTCATTACACGTGGCACCTTTCTGGTTGGATGGGGAGTACAATATCAAGTAAGACATGGATCCATTAGTTCACTCATAGATAATGCTCACATCACTAACAGAACTCCAGCTGTGTTTCAGAGACTTTCACTTATCCCCAGAGCCAAAAGATCAGCTGAGCAACAAGAGGAGGAGTTAGAAATACTCGGTCCCAAAGGTGAGGCGGTTACAATCAAGATGATTCACCCCCCATATATGCAGTTCTTGTATCAAATGATGAGATGGGTTTAAGTGATCGGGATATGTAAGTGATGGGGATTTACAGATTAGGGGATGTTTTTTATGTAGTTAATCAACATGGCGAAACACCCCAAAGCCAGTAGGGCTAAGAGACCAGTCCCAGGGGGAGTTTAGGCTCCACAGTGTACAAGGATAACATAGGGGCGCCCAGGGGAGGGCTAGATGTTGCATTCCATGTACCCGCACC